CTCTGTTTAAAATTGCGCAATTAGAGGCGCGCCTCAAGGCGCGCCTTTGCGCAATTTGACCAAAAAACGCCTCGAGGCTTACACAATTCTTCACCTGGCTGAGGCGTACGCCTCACCTGGACTGAGGCGAGCCTCAGAGGCGCAATTGCGCAATTCTGGGTGAGGCGTACGCCTCACAGAATATGCCCCACCCACTTAAAATGAACCCTCTTCCTCCCTTCAACCTGCACGGTCCCCCTCATTTCCGAAAAATTTTCCTTCCAGCCCTCTGTTCGCGAACCTGGAGGCGTCCCGCACGGTCGGCCAACCTTCCCGCCGCTCCTCCCGCCGGCGCCGCCCCTCTCCGGGCAGTTAGAACATCGATGATTTGTCGTCTGATAATGAGTGGTTCATAGATGATGAGGCAGATTTGTCATTATCAGACTTACAGCTAGAAGATCTAAATGTGGATGTCTTGAGGGGCGAAGCAGATCAAGTTGGCTCATCTACTAGTACCACACCACACACATCCACTAGCTCTGCATCACAACAATCAAGTAAAGGTATTCCACAACTTCTTATATGCTATCGCAGTATATTTATATCAAGTGAGCTATTAACATGCTAATGATCTTTTCTCTTATTAAACAGGGAAGAGAAAAGTGAGTCATATTGAAGATGATGATGACATGTCATTCATAGATACAATTGGAGAAAAAGATTCACTTGAAGACCCATTTAGTGATGTGATATGATTGCATTTTATATGTTTTTTGTATTTTGGGAGTTTTGTTAAACTAATATTTTGTGATTTTGTACTTTGGGACATAATTTTATTGCATCTACTTTCTTACTTTATACTATTTTCATATATCATTTAGATTTTTTTATTGTAAGATACAATATTGCTATTATTTTCTTGCTAAAACCCTTAATTTTTCATTTACGCAATTCTGTGTCCGTGAGGATTACGCCTCAGACCGCCTCGAGGCTTATGCCTCGCCTCACGGACGAAAACCGCCTCAAGGCTTAATTACGCAATTTTAAACCTTGAGTACAGGAGCTTTAGTTAATTTCATTTAATCATTTTAAACCTATCATATGCTTCTTTAGTTAATTCAAAGTTCTTTGTTTTCAAGCAGTGGATAATGGTAGAGATCTAAGTACCAAATTTTCTAATAAAATGACCATAAAAAGTTGCAAGGTCTTGAATGCACCTTACTTCCATAATGAATTTTTGCTTTGCCAGCTTCAAAATTGCTTTTAGCTGTGATTTGTTGACTGTCAGGCCGGCCTAACCTGAACCGGTCCCTCCTAGACCGGTTCAGTGCTACAGGAGAACCATAGGGGGGGTGGGGGTGCAGAATCTTGAGGGAGGCGAAATAGGTGTGGGGTTTAGGTTTAGGAGGGAAAATTCAATTTTGAGGGTTGTTTAGGGATTAACTAATTGTCTTTTGCTTTAAGTAATTTTCTTTTGTCTAGGGTTAGGGTTATCTTGGATTTCGTAATCTAAATTTGAGATCTGAAGTTTGGTTTTTGGCACTAGGCTTCGGCTAGAGATTTGGAGAGTGGAATCTTCCTCTCGAATCGAAGATTCATTGTATCGGGTTGTTTCTTTCCTTCTCTTATTGAATTTCGAGTGCTTTTCTCTCAGATTTTCCTACCGAATTTGTGAAATCTGCACCGCTATTGTTGAAATCCACCAATTTTATTGGATTTGTGGACTTTTTTTTCTATCAAATTGGTATTAGAGCACATCGATATAAGGGATATGAATGGACGGAAGGAAGGTTAAGGAGAACTTGGGCAACTCAAATCGGATTTTGAGAAAAAGTTTTCTGATTTTCAGAATCAAATCGTTTCTGTCAACAAAAGTATGGAGGAAAAGTTTGTTGTGGTGGAAGATATGCTAAAGAAATTGCTGGAAGCTAAACTCAATCCAATGAGATCGGAAGCAAAGGAAACTATCAGTGGCTATGGAAGAGGTGGGAACCCTAACACATTTAGGAGAAGGGAAAATTCAGAAGTGGAGATCTTGGAGGGCGAAGACAAAATGCCTCCTCTAAAACCACTTTATAGAGAGAAGATGAGCATTTTCTACGAAAGGAGGGGTGCTGATTTTGTGAGGAGGGAAGATTTTGATCGTCGGGGTGCTAATATTGAAAGAAGAAGATGGGATTTTGATGAAAGGTTTGGGTATGATCGCTGGAGGGGCACCTCCTCTGTCAGGAATGAGAGGTTATGGAGGATTCAAGTGAAATGGGGGTGAGCTGAAGGTAAGGAAGCTGAAGGTGCTCATCTTTGAGGGTCAGGACGCACATGGCTGGATCTTCAAGATGGAGCGATACTTTGCAGTCAGCAGGCTGACAGAGGAAAAGAAATTGACAGTGGTCGGACTGTGCTTGGAAGCCAAGGCACTAGCACGGTACTAATGGCGGGAAATGGGACGATCCATTCGGAGCTGGAGGGAGTTCAAGGATTGTTTACTAGAACGTTTTCGAACCAATAGGATATGAGACTTCTATGAGCAATTCTTTGCCTTGACACAGGAGGGGACCCTGACAGAGTTCCGTGACAAGTTTGAATACCTTACTAGCCGGCTAGATCGACTCTCAGAGACAATATTAGAAGAAAATTTCATGAAAGGGCTTAAATTGGAGATATGAGCAACAATTAGGGTGATGAGGCCATGAGATTTGGGGGAAGACATGGAGCTAGCACAATTCGTAGAAGACTAGAAGTACCTGGAGAGGGGGCCTAGGGGGAGCAACTGGGGGGGGGGGTCATATAGGATGACCACGACCTTCTAAGCTCCCAAGGGACTTGCACCAGAGAGTTTGAGAGAAGTACCCAAGGAGTAAATTGGAGGGGGAATTTCAAGAAGCTTACTGAGAAAGCGATACAATAGAAAACGACAATCTTGCTGGTGCTGGACCGCTTGTGGCAGCAGTTGTAGGTGGCGGAATCGCAACTAGAAGAGGTGCAAGCATTGTATAGCCAGCGACTAGGAACTGTAGGCAGCTGGGAGGGTGGTAGACAGTAGTCTTGCGGGATTCTCGATGAAGGTGGAAGGGAGAAAGAAAAGGAAGATCCAACCTACCTCAGGTTGGGGAAGGAAAGAACCACCATCTGACTTGGCCTGGTACATTAAAGAAACTTAAGAAAGAAATGATAACTTTCTTCACTCTCCAAAAAACTGAATACAAGATTGGAGGTAGCTCTCCATTTATAGAATAATGCTTACCCCAAGGATGTCTTTGGATGGAATTATTAAAGAAAATAGAAATTACAATAAAAGAAGGAAATAGCATATAAAATAAGAGGGGATTATGGTTTGGTTGGCTGAATTGAACCGGATAGGTTCGCCCAGTGTCATTCTCCCCATATAAGAGAGGCTTCGGCATAATTCGAAATTGATAAAACTTCGTAATGAGCTCATTTGTTTGAGGATGTGTTGCATAGCTAAACTGTAACTTAGTACCAAGCTTACCTGATAAGGGTGAAGGAATTTGATGTTTGATCAGATGTAATTGTTTTGGAAAGGCCATGCAATCGGATGATCTATTGAAAATAAAAATAGTTTATATTTGTAGCATCCAATATGTTCCAACAAGGTATAAAATGGGCCAACGTAGAGTATCTGCGAAAATATCCTGCTGATTCTTTGCAGGTTTGTATGAAGAGGGATTGCGGTATGGCATCAGGGTTGTTGTTTATAGGTTCGGCCAACTCTATGGAAGGTAGGAGCACCACTAATTGATGTTTTTGGTGGAAGGAGTAAGTATTGTGGAACTCTTCATGTTTAGTTTGGTGAATTCGACTTATCTCACATGAGGATTCGTGAACGCCTCTCACTCAAACGCCTTTCTTTGCTTGCTCGCACGCCCGCTCGCCTCAACTGTATGCTCACTCGCTCGTTTTAGATAGAACAGCGATATTTCTTTTTTTTTTCAGTTTTTTAAATCGTTTAATGACAGCAGCATTGCTAAGCAAACTAAAATCTACTTTGCAAAACTTATAGTTGTTTCCGCAGTTTGTTTGGTAGTTTATAGACTACATGAGCTCTAGCTTTCAGTAGAATAGTGCCTAGTTGAAAAAAATTATTATGTAAAACTTTTTTTGGTGCCGATTTTGATGTTGGCTTTCAGTTTTATAATTTCACTAGCTCTAGAAGGCTGAATACAGGGTTCCTTCAGTTGTTTACTTGGATCCATGATCTGTTCCTATTCTTTGTAGTTTATTGCCTGTTTTCCCTAGCTTTGACTTTTCAGGAAATGACATGCCTGATTCTTTTTATATTTTGCCGCATATAGTCCAGTTCATAAAATTATGTACAATTAATCGTCTTTTATCTTTAGCCTGTAGTTCGTTGTACTGCAATATGTGCAATTAATCCTCCTTTATTTTGGAGGAGAAGCAAGTCTCATCCTTATTTTGTTCCTAACAGTCTTTTATGTTAAATCATTAGCATGGTTTCCATCTTTTTTGTTGCTATAAAAGTGGCGCTTTTATAGTCTTAGAATAGAATTAACATTTCCACGCTGCTAATTTCTATGTGAGTTACAAAACTTTCACTGCGTCAGTGTGTTAGCGCAGACCAAGTTCAGCAATATACTGCAGATACTGCAAACTTTGGTTTTTATCTCTACTCTTAACATATTGAAAACTCTATAAGCATATGACGCCATACTAGCATCTTTGTATGTGTGTGTGTGTTTTTTTTTTTTAAATCTAATCTCAAAACGGAAAACTTCTTATGGATGAATTTTAGAAGGGCAGTGTGCGGTGATGCTGATTGCAAGTCCATGTCATCGAAGAAGTATGCATATATTTCTTTTGTCTTTCAGCTCTTTTCAACGTTTTATATATGTGCAACATTTCCCTATAAGGGTAAAAAATTTCTTACAAGAGATTTCTACTTTTTTTATTCATCTAGAAATTGATAAAATAGCACGATCATGTACAGGACACTTCACATTATATGTGGTCTGAAATTGAAGTTCTGAGATTAGCTTCGGGAGTTGAATCAAATACTAACCATCCACTTGGAAAAGCAATTGTGGATGCTGCACGTGTTGCTAACTGTGATAATGTGAAGGTATTTTGACATGACTAAAAATATTGCAATGTCTGCTTATTTTATATGTTTTCCCTTACTGTGAATCTTTCACGTTTTATGCTGTAAAATATTTTACAAACCTACTGCCGTACTCCATAACTGATGACGGATCATACACATGAAATGCCTTTTTGATATCCGTTCTACTAATCGTTCAAGAAGTCAGTTTCAAATTTATGCATTGAACGAATTAAATGAAAATTTTTAGCTCTTCAAATCTGGTTATTTTCATGTGCTGATTGTCCATTGAATCTCCATTTGACATATGGATTCTAGAGTTTCTTGGAGGTTGGTGCTTATTAAAATTATTTATTATGAAGATTAGCCGGAATAAAATATCCGGACAATTCCTATTACTACAATATGAATCATACAACATATTAAACTTAAAGATCATAAAAAGCATCAAAAAGGAAGCTACATCATTTATTGCGTCATACTCCACCTAATAGAATTTGATTCAACGATATTAAGATCACCATCTAGAAATAATAAAGCAAAACGCAACTAAGTAGGAATTATCTCACCTCCAACCGTTGATGCCAAGGACAAGCTTACAAATATGCTTCTTATGATCCATTCACATTTCTATTTGGCTTGCATTAATATAAAAGGGTTAAAAAAGTGTTAGCCAATGCATGCAACTTCTGCCCTAGCATACATATGACAATGGTTGATGTGTATAGTTTTGCACCCACACATTTATAGGCAGTTTAGTTTTCTTTAGTCAAACATGTGGTTTTCATATTAAAACTAGGAGACCTAACTATTGAATGATTATTGGACCCATAAGTCAACCAATATTGATAAAGGATCTTGAGCACATGGATTAAGCAATATAACCGTTGGATTGATCTTTTATTTCCCTTGCCCTTAGATTTTGATTAGTGTGCCTTATTTTTCTCTTATAGTCGTCAACCCCCCTTTAGATTTTTTTTTTTTTAAGAAGTCTATATATACATCCACACTTTAAACAATAAAATTTAAAATAATTTATCTACTTTTTTTTTTAATTTATCTATTTTTCTAAATGATATTAGAACGAGATTAGGGTTTCCTTCTCTTAGCTTTTATTCTCTTTCATTGTTGTTGGGATTTTTTTTTCTCTCTTAATTATTTCTCATTTCTTTGACTTCCATTCTAAAGAGTCAAACATTAGGAATGGTGAAAGTCAGACTAGGAGGGTAAGTGAGCCGAGCCGGCTCGAACTCGTCTCGTTAACGAGCTCGCGAGCCGAGCTTATCGAGCTTCGAGCTCGAGCCTACAATCGAGCTCGTATGATAAACGAGCTCGAGTTCGAGCTCAACCTGACTCGACTCGAAAGCTTATCAAGCTACTTGATATATATATATATATAATAGTATTATATTATAGTTTATAATATTTGAAAGCTTATTTTATAAAAAAACCTAACCGCAGCTACAGTTTTTCAATCGAGCTCGATCTCGAGCTTGAGCTTTTCAAACGAGCTCGAGCTTGATATTTCCTAAACGAGTCGAGCTCGAGCCCACTTATCGAGCTCGAACTCGAGCTCTAGCTCATTAAAGATTAAACGAGCCAGGCTTGATAAGGCAAATACTCGACTTGACTCGACTCGTTTACACCCCTAAGTCAGACTAAGGGAGAACTCGAAGAGGCTACAAGCCTCATATTACTTGAATTGGAGAAGCTACCTGAAGTTGTTTCACATTGTGAAGACCTTTTTTAAAAGGAAAGAAAAAAAAAATCTATTACCTTGGGATCCTCCTCTGGAGTCGAAGGACTCAAAGTTTGTACTTCAGAAAGAAGCGGATTCTATGACCATGACATGATTGTGAAATATCAAGCTGACTCAAATCAATTGGCTATATATGTTCCATTGTACTATAAAATAATTTAGAACACTGTCAAACAACTCAAAACAGTAAATGATGCTACTTTTTTGTTAAGATTTCAACACCAAGCAAGATAATTTTTATGTTATTGAGCACTTTTATGCATTTAAATCTTATTGGCTTGAACTAGATTATGGTGTTTAGATTCACATGCATTACTTTATGAGATGATGAGCATTTCCTAGATGACACAGAATGAGAGTTGGATATAATAGTTGTTTGGTTCACTCTTTTATTTTTTAATGACAATTAATGGTTCAAGATCACTATTTTCGCTCAGGTTTCTTTTGAGGTATAGGTTTGTAAATCATTTTTAAGTCATTCTTAAAGATTCGGAGACGAATCTTGAATCTGCATGGTGAACCCTAAACTATGTTCAATAATAAATTTATTCCTAGCATAATTTGATCAATTTTTTTATTTACACCCTAAATTGATTTTGGGTCATATTATGAAGTTAGAAAGGATCGTAGTAATGTGTTATTTAAAGTTAAATAGGAAAATTGAGGAAACCCTACTACAATCATCGTGAAATAAGCAATCCTTCTAGAACATTTCACATTTGGAATTGTCGAGAAACCACGTTATGTCACTATGAATCAGATAAAAAGGAAAAGAACTCCTTTTATTGCTCGTTGAAAAATTAATGTAGACAAAGGGGGTCAACTCATGTCCAAAATAAATCAATTTTGGCCTCCCTCGAGTTTATAAGTTCAATCAAAATTAAGCTGAAATTTTAGCTCATTTATGAGCTGGTCTTTAGTTTACTTATTGAACTAAGGGTTAGCTCATTATTAGGTAACATTTTAGTTTATAGTTATCTTTTATTAAATGTACTTTTTATTATTTTATGTCTTTAATTATGTTTGTCCCTTGGAATTCCAAACCAGCCTTTGGAATTCCAAGATATGTGTGGCTCCTTGGCTTCCACCATGAGCATTAGTTTTTTGTTCCTTTGCCCATTGGAATTTTGGCCGGCTGCTGGTTTTCTGAGCCTGAGATGTTTCCCGTGGTTGTGGCGCCTTGGTTCCGTGCAGCCTCCTTGTCTCCCGCGGCTGCTCCTTCGGTTCCTGGGCTTGGGCGGTTTTTCGTGATTAGCATGGGGGGATTTCCATGCTTGTGATGTTTAGGTTATTGTGAAAATTAATGTTGTGTGTCCTTTTGTATTCCCCTTTCATACCTATAAATATGAGGGGCTTGTTATGTTTTAAAAAAGAGAATAATATGTGATTTTTGGAAATGTTAACCTGCGGGTTTCATTGGAAAAGCTTGCGAGCTTTGTCCGTCTTCTTTCTCATCCCCTCTGGAAATCTTGCGAGCTCTTTCCAACCTTTCGTCTCGGCTTCTAATCTCTTTCATCTCTCCGCAAGTGCCACTCCATCTGTATCTTTCGTCTCTAAGTAAAGCAACTTTAGGGTGTCTTTGATTTCGAGTCAAAAGTTGTAATCTGTCGTCGTTTGTAATATATATTTTTTTAAAAATTTCTTCATTTTAGTTTAATTTGAAATGTAAGAGTTTGTTCTTCCTCATCTTAGTCGCGTCTTTCATGATTTAGTGGGTCGTCGGTTAAGGCTAGATCTCTCGTGTGGGCGAGGGGTATAAGCTCCCTATATTTCTTGCCCCCACCAATTTGGTATCAGAGCAAATTAGAAAGTCCTAGGGTTTACTTGTCAAATCGAGTTGTCAAGTTTTGTTTTAGTTTGTCAAGTTTTGATTTTGTTTGTCAAGTCAAGTCTTGTTGTAAGTTTTGTGAGTCTTAAGTCTTTTAGGTTGGTGAGTCTTAAAAGTTTCGTGAGTCTAAGTTTAGATTGAGTTTTTTTTTTAGTCTTTTTTGAGTCAGTTAAAAAATGGAAAACAACAAAAATATGGATTCATACAACGAGGAAATCAATTTAAATAATCCTGACGTCCCACTCCCGATGGACAAATGGATTCCTACAGAAGGCGATTCTACTGATCCGCTTCAAGACCGTCTATACAAGCTTCAGTATCACATGTTCCTATTTGATCAAAAATTCGAGAAGTGGAAAAGGTACCTACAACAACAGTTCGAGAAGGAACAGGAAGAAATTTTGAAGAAATTTGATGATAAGTCAAAGAGCTGGACGCGCAGTATTTACCTCCTCAAGAGAACCAACAGCTAACTCATCGGGAGATGAGTTCTCAAGAAGGGGAGTCTGATGTAGACTAGGGGGGGGGGGTCAACTCATGTCCAAAATAAATCAATTTTGGCCTCCCTCGAGTTTACAAGCTCAATCAAAATTGAGCTGAAATTTTAGCTCATTTATGAGCTGGTCTTTAGTTCACTTATTGAACTAAGGGTTAGCTCATTATTAGCTAACATTTTAGTTCATAGTTATCTTTTATTAAATGTACTTTTTATTATTTTATGTCTTTAATTATGTTTGTCCCTTGGAATTCCAAACCGGCCTTTGGAATTCCAAGATATGTGTTGCTCCTTGGCTTCCACCATGAGCATTAGTTTTTTGTGCATTTGCCCCTTGGAATTCTGGCCGGCTGCTGGTTTTCCGAGCCTGGGATGTTTCTCGTGGTTGTGGCGCCTTGGTTCCGTGCGGCCTCCTTGTCTCCCGCGGCTGCTCCTTCGGTTCCTGGGCTTGGGTGGTTTTCTGTGATTAGCATGGGGGGATTTCCATGCTTATGATGTTTAGGTTATTGTGAAAATTAATGTTATGTGTCCTTTTGTATTCCCCTTTCATACCTATAAATATGAGAGGCTTGTTATGTTTTAAAAAAGAGAATGATATGTGATTTTTGGAAATGTAAACTTGCGGGTTTCATTGGAAAAGCTTACGAGCTTTGTCCGTCTTCTATCTCATCCCCTCCGAAAATCTTGCGTGCTCTTTCCAACCTTTCGTCTCGGCTTCTAATCTCTTTCGTCTCTCCGCAAGTGCCACTCTATCTGTATCTTTCGTCTCTAAGTAAAGCAATTTTAGGCTGTCTTTGATTTCGAGTCAAAAGTTGTAATACGTCGTCGTTTGTAATGTTTTTTTAAAATTTCTTCTTTTAGTTTAATTTGAAATGTAAGAGTTTGTTCTTCCTCATCTTAGTCGCGTCTTTCGTGATTTAATGGGTCGTCGGTTAAGGCTAGATCTCTCGTGTGGGCGAGGGGTATAGGCTCCCTATATTTCTTGCCCCCACAAAAAATGTAATCATTTATATTTTGCAAATTCGCAATCTTCACAATGAAAAGATTTTGTATCAACTCATTTAAAAAGAGAAAGAAATTCAAAGATTCAAATGAAGGTTAACTAAGACGATGATGGTAACCAGATTGTATCTTTGTTTGAAGAGAAAAGAAAATATTAAGGTAGATTATCCTTGAGTCTTTAAATTTCTTAATGTTTCAAGAAAGTAGAGCTCCTCTTCACCTTAGCAAGGCCAATCTTCTTCTTTTTCCAATAAAAAAATGCATGATGAGTGGTGCAAAAGATTATTTTTTTAGTTTTATATCATTGGTGAGTTTTTGTGTGAGCACTAAGTAGAAAGTTTAGTAATTTGAACACTCCTTAAATAATTCCCAAACATCCAATCTTTCCAATCCTAAATTCATTGCTTCTACTATATGCCAGATAACATGTATTTCTACGTATCTGATTGACGACTAGCCTTAATCGAAAGTTCTCTCTCGTGATCGGGAGGGGTAATTAACTATAGGGGCTTGCGCCTATAGGAAACCAGAACTCAGATCATAAAGTCCTCGCAAAATGAGGGCGAAATCTCTGGGTAGTGTCTTATCTACAAACCCATCTGGCTTCCAAAATTTACCTCGGAACTTATCAGTTAAAACTCCCTCGCCGGAATAATGAATAAAAATAGAAATCGCGCGGCGGGGAGGCCGGGGCCGAATTTTCGGAGCCCACATTACTACATTGACAAGGACTGTAAGTGGTAAGTGTCGATGAACAATTGATCATGTAATATGTGATTACTGAATCAATGATCTAAGTCTTTGATGAAACTATTTGAAGCATTTATCGCATAAGGAAGGTCAGACCCACTTGCAAGTGTCAAAAACCAGGTATCACTGGATTTAGGTTTTTTTAACATCTCCAATAATCTTCTAAATCTCTAAATCTCCTCTTTATTAATTATCCTTGATTTATGGTTGTCTCTTAATTTGTTTGGGTCGTACTCATGTGAGCTTAACTTTGATTTCTCCATTTCCCTCTTCAGTATCCTACTCCTTGCTTGTAGTGATGGTTTCCATTTAATTCTAATATTGTTCCTTGTCGTGTCTTGGCTTCTTGCAGTTGGTATCTATAAGTTTATCTTTGTTGTCTTGATTTGGGGCCTTAAATTATTCTGCTCTCCAATTATCTATGTTTCATGGTTGCTTTCACGCTTATCTTGTCGTCCTTCCCACTATCTGCCACAAAACAGAGGCTTCCTAAGTCTGGAGCTTAAGCATAACTCCTCTCCTTTTTTCCTCTGCTTGAATGATGTAGATGTTCTCATATCAAATATGTTACCTCATTATTTTTTAATATTTTAATTCTAACTTGATCGAATTCTGCAATAGATCTGCAAGAAAGTTATTGCTTCAATCGCTCTCAATGAAGGCTTTTGCAATTGGTGTACTTCAACTTAATAGCTCCATAATGGTCCGTTTCTTGCTATGTTTTTAAGAGATCGGTATACTCCATAACAGGTTTATTGTTTTGTTTGATTGTAGTAGTTTTTTATCTGATCTCGTATATTTGAACTATACCCTTTGTTTTTTATTTTTTTCTGCTTCTTGATTTCCCAAATATCCTTTACAACGGGTACAAACATGCATATGTCACTAATTTTTCAAGTCATTGAATTCAAAATTCATGACATTACCATGAAATCCTCTTCATCCCAGCATCAAATCCTATGTTTCATTTCTTTGGTCTAGTACCGTTGACTGGACTTAATATCCCGTTTCCTTGGGAAAGGATCAAACTAATGGGACCACTTTAAATAAGTTTTCCCGTTTAGCCTACATGCTGTGTGGATATTATGTAATTATCTAATGGAGTGCCGTAGTATTATTTCTTCAGAGGTCATCTCCCTGAATTTGGTAGTTGGAGCGGATGTTGTTGTCTTAGATATGATGACAGATTCTTAGCAAGGAAATCCACAAAGATGAGAATATTCTAGAATAGAAAAACAAATAATTCTTGAAGTCTGGTTATGAATGTTGAAAAAAAAAAAAAGGACTCAGCCATACTGGCACTGAAGATGAAGGCTATAGAAAAAAAAAACTCAACTAAAAAGGCTTGGTTAGAAAATATTAGAAATGACATTTCTTTATTAGATTTAAATGATAGTTTGACTCTTAATAGGACACAATGGAGAAAAATGATTCATTTAGTCGACCCCATAGTGGGATAAAGGCTTGATGTTGTTGTTGGTGGTGATGGAAGCTAAACAAAAGTTTAATTTTCCCAAAGAAATCCAAGCCTTTCAGCTATGATTCCATGTGAAAAATCAATGAATTGTATTGAATTTTAATTGAGAACTACATAAAGAAATAAGCAGTGAACTTATTAAAAAAAAATACTGTCTCCTAAATGAAATGCCTTTGAAAGAATTTCCTTGTCAAATTTTCCAGGATTACAGGAATACTATTTTCTACCGTTACCAAAAATAACCAGTCATGAAAATATGGATAGAAATCTTGTGTTTTCCAACCGTTAACATTGATAAGAAGAGAAACTGGCAGCAACAAGAGCAATAGCATCGATAAAAGCAAAAAACATTAACATGATCACAGCCACCAGCAACAGCAATAAATTATTTGGTTCCTATTAAATTAAGCTTCTCAGGTAACTCATATGCCAGTATATAAACAGCACAGGTCATCAATAATACATATTTCATGTAAAATTGAGCAAGTTAAATTATGTTAATGATAAATACAGGTTCTGCAATGCATGTAATTTTTTATATTCCAAAATCTGGTATTTTGATGCCATTTTTGGTAAACTTTTGTTTTGCAGGCTACAGATGGAACCTTTAAAGAGGAACCTGGATCTGGGGCAATAGCCATAGTGGAGCAGAAAACAGTCACTGTAGGAACACTTAGCTGGCTTAGAAGGTTTGACATTGGAAATTTTCTTCATGATTTGACTTTTTGATTGAGGATTTTAGTTGTTTTTTATCTCATGTTGCCCGAATGTAGTACCATAAAATTCCTTAAGAAAATAAAGCCAAATTCTTAAGCATGGAGGCTCCTTTTGGTATAACGATTGAAATTTCATTAGAAATTCTCAAGTTAAGCATGCTTATATAGGAGCAGTCCTAAGATGAAGGATCTCATGGGAAGTAACACTAAGCGGACAAAACTGTGAGGCAATTAGATCAAATCGGACAATATCTCGATGATTAGAACTTTAGGCTGTTACAAATAATATCAGAGCAATACCTCAGTGATGCGGACATCGGCACGAAAATCTGGCGCATCTATCACAGGAGGCGTCGTAAATCGACGGCTCTGATTTAAGTTGTCATTTATGAATTATTTTCTGCATTTTAGTTTCTATTTTATGTTATTTCACCTACTTAGGAAATCTTTCCTAACATTAAACCCTCTCTTCCCTGTAGATTCACGGACTCAAGGATTTGATTTTTCCCTCAGCCTCCCTTGGATCCCGCTGCAGCCAGAGAATTCCAGCTTACACCCTTGGCCGTATTCCTCTCAGGTTTTGAATAAGAAAACCTGAAGAAAATCTTTTTTTTTTTTTTTTCTTTTCTCTCACCGTTTCTCTCCAACCTCTCCCTCCATAGCAGCCGCCTCACCCAATCTGTCACGGACCCCATCCCCCTATTAAATGCTTGTGAAATCTGTCCAGATTTACTACTTGTCCCTTTGGCAAGATTGCCCAAGCCCCACCACAGCTGGCCAAATTCTCTCAGGTTTCTCACTTAGTTTTCCCTCCAAACTCCTTATCCTCTGGTCACAAAATCTGAAGAATTATTTCAGGTTCTGGGTTACGGGTTCTCTTCTTCCAAGCCTCTGTTCCTACATCAAATAATCTGAGAATTCTCTCATATTTCTGGAGCAAAACCTCAGCTCACTTTCAGGTTTTGGAAAACAAAGCAGAAATTGTTCTCAGATTTTGGAAAAGAAATCCTCTCCCTAGCAAAGCCGTCTCCCGTTCTACATCACTCAGCTGGAAGATGAGAACTTTACCTTTAGAATCCTATATACATGATAGATGATTTTGGACTAAGGAAACTGTCGAGGATGTCAGTTATCTAAGTGGGTAAGATTGTGAAACCTCCTAAAAAAAATAAAGTAAAATTCTTAGGCATTGAGGAACCTTTTTATTTAACTGTTGGAATTTCATTAAAAACTTTCAAGTTTAGCTTGGTTGTATAACTTGGGAAGTCACACTAAGGTGACAAAATCGTGAAGTCCTCAGGCCAAAGCGAATAATATCTGGATGGTTAAGAATTTGGGACAAATGCTTCTTTCCTTTAAAGAGCAAATGGACAGGCTTTGCTTAATAGTATTCAATGCTATTATTACGTTTTTAGCTTAAATTGTTTCAACTGCAAAATGCTTATTGACATCTTTTATACACTTTTCTTTTGGATGCAGGCATGGAGTTGACTCATATTCATTTCCAGATATCGAACTCAATAATCATTCAGTTGTATATGTAGGAGTAGATGGTAGTTTAGCTGGGCTGATTTACTTCGAGGATAAAATTAGGGAAGATGCTCGCCAAGTTGTTGAAATGTTGAGAAAGGAAGGACTTGACGTATATATGTTATCTGGAGATAAAAGGAAGGCTGCTGAACATGTGGCATCTATCGTTGGTATTGACAAAGATAAGGTGCGGACCATCTAACTTGAATCACACCGACAAATGAAGCCCTAGGACGTCAAACTCAGATTGTTTTCCTCCAAGCCAAAATAATTTATTTTGAAGCAAGTGTTCATGCACTGCCTAAATTTTAATCATTTAATTTTATGTTCTACCTTTTTCCATAACAAGAAATAGGGGAGATCCTGAATACAAAAGATTTAGTGCTCCATAGTAGTAAAATAGTCGCCGTAAGATTTGTTAATTTTCTTTGTAATCCTTCACTCTATCACTCAGTTTTATATATTTGTTAATAGCACAGGTATTTTCTGAAGTCAAGCCTGATCAGAAAAGCAATTTCATTGAGGAGCTTCAAAAAGACGGAAAAGTAGTTGCCATGGTTGGAGATGGCATCAATGATGCTGCTGCGTTGGCTTTATCAGACATCGGGATTGCCATGGGTGAGGGTGTTGGTGCTGCTAGTGATGTGTCTTCCATTGTGCTCATGGGTAATAGATTATCACAAGTATGTTAGGGTTCCTTCTCATCTAGAACATTAATTGTTTTTTATCAGACAATTGAGACTCAAAAATGTTTGTTTGCACCCTTGGACTATTATAAATCGTGTTGAATAAATTGTGGATACTACCTTTTTCCTTAAAAAGGTAACCTTTTATACTGAGTCTTTGTTATACTCAAACTATATCTTCAGAATTGGCATTCGTTTTTTGTTTGGAACTTCAAATACTTTAGAAGTAGAATATATTTAACCTCTATTAGTAAAAAAAATAAGTTAAACCTTGCAATTTCTCGTACTGTTGGTCATATTGTTTATTTAATTTACAGATAACATAATAATATGTTAACTAATGGAAACCACTTATTTAGGGATAGTTTTTTGTTTATTTTTTCCTCCTGAAAGTTTGTTTCTTATTATGTGTCCACTTAGTGAACTAAACCCGTTTCAATCTTTATTTGTATATTGGCATGAATGTGTGTAATATTTGCAGCATTTGAGGAGATGTGCAATTGAGGTGGCAAGTCATTAAACACTAGGTATGCAAACCCTGCTCAAGCAAAGCAAAAATAGCGTGATCTTCCAATAGAAATGCTAGTAATTAGTAGACACAAATAATCATATAAGAGAAATAAAAGAACTAGAAAGAGAATTGAAATTATGTGGTTCAATTTAGATCAGAACTACATCCATGAGAGAACAATGCGAGATTAAGCTCACTAATAGGAGATTGCAAAGTATGGTTGTGTTACATCTCTTGGAGCTTGCAAGCCATCATCATGATTCTTCTTCAAACAGAACTAGGATACAAGCACTCCTCGAGAATATTTCACATCCTTTCACAAATGTCTAGAACAACGAGATCTATGCCAAAGACAAGAACCGAGATGGAAGAAAGAAGGTAGAGTTCCATAATAAGATCAAGGAGCTATCTCCTATGTACTCAAGCTTCTTCTCTTCATCTCTCTTCCTTTTCTCCTTCTTGTACAACCCTAAATCTCAATCGCAATGCATCATAAGGACCCTTAAACAAGAGCCAAGAACTGGCCCTTTGGTTGGATCCCATCCGATGGCTCCACTACTCGCTACTCTTGGTAAATCTGCCTTTTCTAAATTGTGTCAAAGGGGGCTTGAAGCAAAAGCTGAAATTTGGCTTTACCCACACCCCTCAATGTCAAGACAGCTAATATAATGCATTTTCAAGATTCCATAACATTTGACATCCATCCCCCCCCCCAAAAGCTAACTTAGCTTGGAAAATCAGTGTCACGAGATGATGCTACAAACATAGAAACTTCATTTAAAAAGGTCCGGCTTATTCAACTATTTTCTTTATAAGCATACAGCAAGTGTAACTTCTTTTCTTAAATTAGACTGTTTTTATGCTTGCAAAATACATTCATGAATTACCTTGTGCATGTTCAATCAAGTATTACTTAATTTGTCCATAGATGGCTATTTTTTGTATCATGTCAAGTGCATGTTCAAGCAGTGGGCTTCTTTTTCGTTTTATTTATGGCTTCATGACATCTTCTGAAATTGTTTTGCAGCTGAGTGAAGCACTGGAATTGAGCAAACAGACTATGAAGACAGTGAGACAAAACCTGTGGTGGGCATTTGCTTATAACATTGTAAGTTTGTCAAATTTCATTCCTTTTGTTTAATTTTAAATGACCCAATGTAAACGTTGTTCGAGTATTTCTCAGGAAGATAGCTTATTTTACGCAAGATTGACTTTTGTTTATTGGTGATCTTTTAGTACTTTTTTGGATTGGACATATTAAAGAAATGCATAGTTAGATAGGTAAAGGAGAATTAGATGATTCTTGTTTTACTTTTTCTGGTGTGCTTTTTATCATTGTTCAGTGCTAGTATTATTAGCTCCTGGTGATAGATAATCATGGCATGCCAGCTTGTGTGACATTATGCAGTCGGTTTTATGTAGTGAAGACCCAATAACATTTGAGAGAACAGCAATTGCAGGGGCGGAACCCCTTTGATCCCGGGGGCAATTGCACCCCCCCCCCCCCCCCCCCCCCTCAAAAAAAAGAATATTTATTATTATACGATTATTTAGAAAATTTGTCCCCCTCAATCTATTTTTTTAGTCTTTATAACAATGGTTTTTAGGCAATTGCCACCCCCTAGTCTTTAGATATAATTAAATACGTTGTGTAGAGCTGCAACTGTTAAGGAATGATGAACCAAATACAAAGAGAAATAATAAATCAAAATTTGTTCCCTTGGCACTGCCCCCCTGGACCCCCGACATATCTACCAATAGTTACTTATAATTTTGCCTCCCTTGAAAATTATGGCTGGTTCCGCCCCTGAGCAATTGTAAAGGTTTTGTTATTCAAGTTGACTAGAAAATCACTTTATTAGAATTCATACTTTCAAAGTACAAAAACTTATTTACTATCTGTTAAAAGTTTGAACACATTAGTGACAGTTATAAATAATTTGATGAGAATCTTCAGAAAAAAGTATTTTTAATTTGCAAATTGAAGTTGAAATTTGGCTTTCTTGCATTTATTAATTCACCTTTAGTATTGACATATCATTTTACAGGTTGGAATACCTGTTGCAGCTGGCTTACTGCTACCAATAACAGGGACCATGTTGACTCCATCCATTGCTGGAGCTCTAATGGGTTTTAGCTCTTTAGGAGTGATGTCAAACTCATTGCTTTTGAGACTCAGATTTGCTCTGAAGCATAAGAAAACCAGCACAGTCCGTAAGTATACAAACCAGGAATCTATTTCAGATGTTTTTCTTGATATAAGTGAAAGTACTGAGAAGCCTTCTGTGCCGAAATGGAGAAGCACCTGAGTCTACTAGGAGAATCATGAAATCACAATGCAATAAAACAAAACGCAGAGTTGCAGCCGATCAAGATTACTTTTGGGTCAAACTTTCTTACTATTTTTTAAAGTTATTTTTTAATACAAATTTTTTAGTTTAATATAAAGAAATTTTATATCATAAAAGTGCTTTAGAAAGTAGTAAGAAAATTATTTTAAATAAAACTTAAGGCAAACTTTCAGAGGGATGATTTAGACCCATCCTGAAAACTTTAAAGAGCTCATTTTTTCATTGTATATAGAAAGAAAGAATTTGAAAGCATTGTATCTTTTAGCATATTCTTGTCAAGTCAAATCTCATCTGTTTTCACCTTCAAATCAAAAATTTGTATTGTTGCTACAAACAACTAAATATTCAAGTTTTTTTTTTTTAACTATATATTTATGTTATGCCTTACTTCCCTTCAACTTCAACAACCATTTATTGTGGTTAATCTTATATTCTTGTATCATTTAATCTATTTGTTTTAGTTTTATTTCTTTTATATGGCCAGTGACTGCAATTAAAATATAATAGGATCATCTGAATCTACCTTTAAAGGACAAATTATTCGATGCGGAGTCTGGATGTCGTCCATAGGCCAATAAAAATTCACCATGTTGCTCTAAAAGTGTAGCGCTTAGTACTGAACTATACCATTCATTGATACCGATCACAGTTCTCTCGTTTGGTGTTTGCACAAAATAATCTCTACCCCTTAAGGTATACATGAGCTAAGTTAATGGAAAAGATAATAAATGCTAACAGTTATACATAGTGTTTGAAAATGTAACTAAATTTTTATTTTTTGTCCTATTTATTCTAAATTTTGTAATTAAAATCAATGATATGTACACTTTTTGATTACTTGCACTAAAATTGAAAATTCTTGTGATTTCACTGAATGTTTTGATCTTTTTTCTTATAAAATTCATTACAAATAATTTAATTTTAGTTAAAATTAATTATAATAATAATACGTTATTGTAATTGTGGCTAATAAATAATTTAGTTAATTTGCCTATTAAAATAGAACTAATAATATAAAATTTAATCCTAATTATGATTATAAATCAAGTTCATTAAATTCTTTAATTTGTATTTTATTCTATAACTTATAAGATGGATTTCAATGGACTAATATTCATCACTGTTTATACCATTATATAGATAAAATATGCAACTAGAAAATATAAGGCTAACTCGCCATCATATTAACTGAACAAATTATAATATTAACTAGTAGGATGAATCAGACAACAATTCAGTAGCTAATTATAATTTTACACAAATAATTTTAAAAATAGATGTAATATTCATGTAAGCCATCATAAGTAAACCTCAATCATTCATTTTATTAGGAATTTTAAACATGCACATTTTAAATATATTCAAGACGATAAAAGACTATCATTTGATAATTTGATATTTGTAAACAAAAATATCATATCATATCATATATTTTAATAAATTATATCCGTCATAAGAGCACTTTTTTAATTTGTATGCCTCTAAGGCATAATCTTTTTTTTTTTTTTTCCTTATTTTTGAGTCCTCAACTGGTAACATAAAGAGTGAACAACATCAATCAGCAGGTATATACATTTTTTTATTAAATTCTTTCATTTATTTATGTGTATCTACTTTTAAATTTGACAATACATAAGGCTGAACTACAAATGCTTTTTTTCTATCTAATCTCATAAATACATGAACTCCATATGGTAGTTTAGAAAATTTCTTTTAATCATTCAATGATAAGTTGTATTACTAACAGTATTCAACTATAAATTATCATAAACTAAAAATATTACTCACCTAAATCTTTGATAACTTGTTATTCCTTTTAATAATTCACTTATTTTAATTGAATACCTATTGCCATACATATAAAATGAGGCCTTTTAATACTTCTTGTTTGGCCCTCGTTAATTAATAGGCTATTGGTGGTAACTCTGCTCCTGTGATGGTGGTCCACTAAACACGTCTGTAAGACCTGCTGAAAAAGATAACTGATGAGTTTGATAAATCAAACTAAGCAAGTAAATGTTATTAAAGCATAAAAGACAAAGGAATATAGCATGCAGTATATAACAACCTGAAGTCACCAAACAAAAGAAGTAATGACACATGTCATGCTTTCTATAACAACAATCTAATATGTTAGTACCCATAATGTATGTGTCAAACTACTATCGATGCAAGTTATTTTAATGCACATAAATGCAATCACTTCAGGTATCCTCATACCTTAAAATGGTCTATCAGTTATTAATTTCTTTCAATTCATATCCACTTATATTTTTTATATTTAGCATATATTTTTATTGTCGGTTCATCATATATCCATCATTGGAAAGGTAAACACCAACCTAAAGAAAACCAATTATTTTCTGTAGAGTCATCACTCTAGAGGTCCATCAACCCCGAATAGCAAAAAAATAATAGGGTTATACCGACATACATATAATCACACAGTGCAAGTACTATTACAAATAATAAACATTTTTTATGTAATTCAACAAGACAATTACAATTTATATAATCAACATAATTTATAACAAAAGTATCATGTACTGAAATAAACAGAACTAATGTAATTTGACAATATGACATTTATTGCATTTAATCAAAAGCATGCATGAAAATATAAATTTGATTTGCAAGAGATTATGCAACAATAAACCAATAATATTCTATTTATGAAGCTTCTAATTCATTATGAGCAAGTGTAAAATAATATAAATCCACAATGAAAGAACTGGCCACTTAACATCAAAAGATCTAGCAATAGAACCAAGAATAACACCCCTAACTAACAATTGTACGTTTATTCTATAAATAAATAACAGTTACTCACAATGATTGCCATAAACTCCAACCTCGAAAGCAGCTCGCTTGACTCTGCCAAGCCACAATCCTACAAATAATAAAACCAAAATAACATTAAACACGTTCATCTAGGCATAATAAAATTATCCTAATCATTTTTAACCACGCCATGAACACCAAAATTAATTATGAACAATAGTATGATCTAAAAATATTTAAATAACCTAGGGTTTAAAATAAGGACTCCTTTAAAAATAATTTAAAATCCCTCATAGCAATAGATCAAGGCAACACCAAATCATATCCAGCAAAACACTACAAAAAGGACCCTACTAATATAACTTGAGAATAAAGATGAAGAAAGGATGAAGGAGAAGAGAAAAGTGTTTGGACTCAAAATTCAAGGCTGCTGTTTGTTGCTGCTAGAAGGAGAAGGGATGTTTTTCGATACCCAACTCTCTAAATTGAAATACATGGCGAGGGAGACAGCAAGGCGGGAGAATCTGACTAATAGGGAAAGAAATTGCAATTGGAGGTAGAGAGGATCGCGCTTGCTAGGTTATATCTAAGGGTGCAAACAAGTCGAGTCGAGCTCGAGTACTAACATGCTCAAGCTCGACTCACTTATTGTTTAAGTGGCTCGAACTTGAGCTCGACACAAGCTCAGTACTTGAGCTCGAACTAGACTCGAAATTTTTATTTTTGAATTGAGCTTGAATAAGAAGCTCGAACTCGACTAGTTTATAGGCTCGTTAAATCGATATGGAGTGCATGTTTTTTAAAAATTTCTCAATTTTTGTATGTTTTCACACTAATCAAATTTTATTTAAACAAAGAAGCAAGCATTAAAATTGTGACAAATTCCAAACAATTAACACTAATATATATGAAGGGATCTACATGCAGGTTGCAAAATTTTAACATCATTTACCACATTCTTCAATACTTCTTGAATGATTATTTGTACTAACACTTGATATTCCTACCCTTAATGTGCCATCTATACAATTTACTTCCTCTTCAAAAGAAGTTGTATTCTTCATATAGCTCAAATAATAAGCTGTGGACATAGGATATCTTATAAACAACTTGTTCCACAATTTTGATCCGATAACCATAAGATTTAGAATGTGTGCAACAGCACACATGAAACAACCTACCATCAAAAAATAATTTTCTTCTAACACAGAGGTTGTCCTTAAGCAACTTAATTTCCCTATCATTATTTGCATTATTATCAATAAATATGATGAAAATTTTATTCTCCAATCCCCACTCAGTAACTAACTTATAAAAGGTGTCAACAATCTCAGTTGCTATATGTGGTGGATTCAAGTGAGAGAAGCTTAGCACTTGCTTATGTAATTTTTAGTTAAAATCAACATAATGTGTTGTCACAGTCATGTATGAAATTCTCAGTTGTAAAGCTTAATCTTATTAAGCTTTTCAATGCAATATGTAGCTTCTTCTCCTTCTCATATACTAACATGACATCATTACGAGCTATTGTCCTAGTGTACTTCATGAAATATGGTAACATAGTCTTCAATACTAAATTAAAACAAAACTCTTCTACAACTGAAAATGGTTTTTCGTTTATTAAAATGTCATGTGCAATCATTTCTCTTACTTTCAATTGGTCGTACTTGAATGTTGTTTAACTTCAACTCTCCTGAGAATTTTCACTAGTGCAAGTAATATCTTTGTGTTCAAATTGCAAAATCATTTGATTCTTGATAGCACGGATTCTAGTAGGACAACGATCTCCGTGTCTCTTATACTATGTTGTAGAACACGTGCTACCAAAGCATAATTTTTTTTTCTTTTAATGAGAACATTCAAGTTTTTTCTGACCATCAGGGAGTGTTATTTCCTTAATTCATCCAACATTGTAGATGTTTTCTTCCTTTTTTGTTTTTTTGTCTATTGGAATCTCTGTTGTAATTTCATTGGATTGTTCGTTATCCTTATAATTATTATCCTGATTATCTCCCAAAGCATTTTCATTTTCCTCTTGATTGTCAGATTGCACTTCACCAGTTTCTAAACTCAAATGCACATTAATATTATCTTCAACAACTGGCTTAATCGACATCCGATGTAAAAAAAAAAAACACCCAACTGTTTAAACCCTAAACTTGTTGACAAACTTCGCCTCATCATAAGCTAAAAAACATAGCAAAGCACTCATTTAGTTTTTTGCGAGAGCCTATAAGAAAATATTCATGATCACAACATAACCTAGATGATGCTTTATCAATTCAATTAAAAACATCATCACCAAATCATAATTTCCATCTAATAACCAGAAAAAACACTCAATAACAAACAACATCAAAAATAAAACGCATAAACCATTTAGAAACTTTTGTAAAAAAAAAAAAAAAAAAAAAAAAAAAAAAAAGGAAACAACAGCCCTAACGGATCCAAAACGCACGAACCCAAAAAAAAACCATGAAAATTGCATGAATATTTATCCAATAAAATGATTCAAAACTCACAAACCATTTCGAAACAATCTCAGCATAAATCATTCAAAAATAAAACGCATAAACCATTTAGAAACTTTTGTTTGGATGAATAAGAAGAACGACCTAAAAACCGCAAAAGAAAAAGTTGATACCTCAGAAATTTTGTTTGGATGGAGAAGATGAACGCCCTTAAAAACCCCTACCGGATCGACTGTCCGTCCCGAACGAGCGAAATGAATGAAATTGATGTTCTTGCGAAATGAATGAAGTTGTCGAGATTTGAGAATGAGATACAAGAGAAAGATGACAAACCACGAAGAAAAGTCGGTTGATCTCCCGTTGCCGCTCTCGTCGCGCTCAAGGCAGCAAAAAACCTAGCCGCAAGGCCCGCAACTTCGGATTGGGTATACATACACGAATGGGCGTCGGCATAGGTACTCCATGGCCTCCTGAGTCGGTATGAATGGATACTCAATATCAGAGAACAAATAGATTTACATTATTAATTATTATATACATGCATTATATTACAGTAATTCTTACTATGCAGTGCGCAACACTAAAATGCGTCGCGACTACGATAAATTTTGATATGTGGCTTAAAAATTTGCAGTCAGATAAAATAGCAAAAAAACCTCAAGGTCATTAATCCATGGCAGACTGCATTCAAGAAACATGAAAAGTGGGGTGGGTGTGGGTGCGTATGACATCCCGAAAGTTATCATAGGTGGACGTGGATGGGCAAAGCCCGCCAGTGCAGAGCGTGGGTACCCAATAGGTACCCAACCAGATCCCATGTAGGGCTCTGCTTTGCACAGAGCAAGAAAACATATGCAGGTCAGTTCAAAGAGAAGTTTTAAGGAAATACTAAGGGTGCTAGCCCGGTTCGGTTCGCATGGTTCCACTTCCGCAGTTCCGTTAGTTGCCTAGTCCGCTGTTCTCCTGGACCGCCTTCTGCATTTGACAACATTTCCAGCGGCTATACGAGTACTCGAGCCGAGTTATAGGGGGTGTTTGATATCGGACTTGTCTTCACTTTTAAGCAAGATTTAACATAAATCCAGCAAAACAATTTTCCGCGCGCATCTAAATCCGGCGACTACGTAAATCCTGTATTTACGAATTTACGGCATAAATCTTAGTAATTCAGGTAAATCCTAATCCCATTCTTTCCGAAATTTAATGAGATTTAAGGGATTTGGCCGGAGAAGAGCGTGAAAGGGAGAAAGTTACCTTCAAAGCCAGCGAGCTCTCGTTGTTGCATCCGATCAAAATGTCGTAACTTCCAATCTGACAGGAAGGTAAAGTCGTCGAAGAAGCTAAGTCGAACAACCACGAAGGAGCTGAAGAAGCGACGCGTGCAATCTCTCTACACCTCCTGCGAAGCAACCGAACAGCAACAACGAAAATAGAAGATGAAAGGCAAACTCTAGAGGCATCTTATTACTGCTTAACTTAATTAATATAATTTAAAATAATAATAATTAAATAAATAAATAGTATAATTAGTGCATAAAATAATTATCTAATTTAACTTAATTGAATAATTAATGATATATTAGTAATTAAATATAATTTAATTAGCTTAATTAATACAACTTAAAAAATATATCACTAAATATATAATTAATAGTATAAATTATAATTAATGAGTAATTTAAACTTAATAATTTCGACAATCATACAATTTAAATTCCTACCTGTCATAAATTTTAAAATATATTGTCAAACATCTTCTCAATATTTAACAGGATTTAATATTTATCATACCAATTAGTTTTTAGGATTTATTAGCCTCAGGATTTACTAAATTCGGATTTATAGAATTTACTAAATCTCACTAAAATTAATCTAATCTGATATCAAACACCCCCTTACTTTGATCTAATTCGAACTCAGATAATCCAACGAGTTCGAAAAATTACTTGAACTCAAACTCAACGTTTGATAAGCTCAACGTTTGAGCCAAAAACTTTGTGGAACAAGAACATTACTCCATTGGACGTCTTATGAAAGCCCGCCAGGCTCGGCGGCCTTTTGCTTTCATGCATTCTCTTTATAGCGTGCTCTACTTCGCGCCCGGCGATTATGATCTTCATCCAAAATCCCAATACACTGCTCAGTAAATGGCCTCCTCAGGAACAAGTATGGCAATACCATGTTTCGGTCACCTGCATAGGAGAATTGCGTTCAGTACTGCTAAACACGAGGATAAACACGAGGATTGTGAATCAAAGAAAGGCCTAACCCACAATTAAGGTTTCGTTTGGAATGAATTTTCTCTTGCTTTCTAAAACAGCTTTTTTACACAATTTTTTTTTTAAATTGAATATTTTATATTAGAAAACCGTTTTAGAAAACAGTACGAAAAGTTATTCGAAATGAAGCCTGTTAGGTTGGAACTTTTATTTTATCCAGTGAACGTACGCTCCTCTACGTTCGGTTTAGGCAAAAAAAACGCTTGTACCGAGTTTTTTCAGTACAGGCGCTTTTTTGCCTAAACCGAACGTAGAGGAGCGTACGTTCACTGGATGTAATAAAAGTTCGTTAGGTTGAGTTTTTAAAGTTTTTTTGGGATAATTTTCTTCTAGTTTTTTACTGCAACATTTTTGTACAAATTTTTTTATATTAAAAAATTATTTTAAAAAGTAACATGAAAGTTATATCAAACAAAACATAAATCCCTATACTCAATAGTCAATAGTACCCCGATTGAATGTATCTCTCAATTTAAGAAAGTAATAATTCACCATTAATCTCATCTTTTTTTGGAACATTTAAGCCAATTATAATTAAGTCACACACACATCATATACTCGAGACCCAAACTAAAGATCTTTTGGTTGGTCACCAAAATTTCCTATCAACAGACTACGATGAGCAGCATAAATCTCACTCATTATATGATCAGCAAAAATTCAATTAATTTTTATTGAACTCATATTTGACTAAATCGAAAATAAAAATTCTTAGATTTCATGTGGAGGACCGACTCTGAGCATAATTGTTATCCCTCTTTAACTCTAACAAATCTCAATCTTGTTAAGTTCCAATCGCGCTCAGGCTAATCCCTCTTTTAAATTTTCTTAATTCATATCCCTGTAAAATCGAAGCAACAAAGAGGCCTTTAACCAGAAAAATAATTTAGTACGTGTGATCAAATTTTTATGGGCATAAATTTCAAAACAAATTTAAAATTGATTAAATTTATTCCCCCTTTTAGCCCCATGCCAAAAAGAAATTATTCTATGTGGAGGCTGAACATAGAATGCCGTCCGGAGGCCAACCAGAATACATCACGTCAACAATACCGAACGGTATCGAGCACGAGTGAGATGGCACATTTTGGTTGGTCTCCGAACGACGTTCGACGTCCGGACAGAATAATTAATCTATGTCAAGGCCTATAATTCCTCTTAGACTTCCTTTGAGAAAACTTTCTTACTAAAGAATATAACTTTTTAAAGTTAATGTACAAAACAGATTCTAGTATAAATTTTGTTTAAATATAACGAAAAAATAATGGTCATACAAAATTTATGATTAAAATTTGAAAATTAAAATACTAAGAAAGCTATCGTAAATGAAACCTTAATATAATTTCAGTTTTGGACAAACCTTAATATTAACAACAATAATAAAACCACATTCATGATCCTTTACAATTTGCAACGCAAGTATAACAAGTACTACTAAAATGCCCAGCAACATCATCCAAGACATGATTCAACAATTAGCCATAACAACACAGCACTCCAGATCTCAAAACCATATAAAAAATCTAAACAAGTTTTCTCCCAACTAAAATCTTGGAAAATAAATAGAATATCTGCCTCCACCATTACATTAGATAGTTAATAATCCAGATCCACTAACACACAAATCAAAAACATCTACAAACTTAAAAACAATATGAGCCATCTACAATTAGACTTCAAAGCAGCGCAATACTGCTTCCACCACCAGGAGGTTTACGAACACCTCCAAAGTAGTCACGAGAGGCTGCCTTTCCATCTGCAAATATATCACTGCCGCTCATCTCTTTCAGTTTTGCAGAGCTCAGAGGCTTCTCAACTGATCCAGACACAGCGTCACTATTGAAGATGTCAGTTCCAGATAGGTCCTGGAACTTCTGGTTGTTGATCTTCTTCGATGTCTTCGGTACAGGTTCCTCGCTAGACATGATGTGGCTTTGACCACCAGGAGGCTGAAGCTTCAAATAAAAATAAATTTAAAAACTACAAGAAAGGTAAAATCACAGGGAATTTACTGGGACATTATATGTGCCAATGAAGTAGTTATAGGTTATTCTAAATCTTTAATTCACAAACAAAATCAGTTCTTAGGACATTAGAATGGAAAAACTCGGCAAAATTAAGAGAACATAAATCACATCGACGAAAAACTTCACATTTATTTTTTGAAAGATGCATTTTATTTCTTAATTTTATGTTAGTTTATAGTTTATTCATTGGCATGGTTATATTATTGATTTAGATTTCGTTTGGGACGGTTTTTTTCTTGTTTTCTAAAACAGCTTTTTAGTACAAATTCTTTTTGAATTTCAAATTTTTGTACTAGAAAATAGTTTTAGGCTTCGTTTGTGACGACTTTTTTACTGTTTCTTAAAGCAGCTTTATAGTACAAAAATTTTTAAATTTGTACTAAAAAACTGTCTTATGAAGCAGAAAGAAAATCGTCCCAAACGAAACATTAAAAAGTAGTACGAAAGCTGTCTCAAAGAAACCTTAATTGTTGTTAAATTTAAAAGACAGACGAGGTTATGACGGGTTTGGAGTTATTTTGGGAACGGGCCCGTTGCTGTTTGTACTGTCGTTAGGTTGGGTGATCGGATTGGGGCGGTGGGGTTTTTTGCATGGATTATTTGCAACTGCAGTTTGAGTGCTTACACGGTGGAGTTTGAAATTATTTTCTAGATAATGATATCTTATACCAAGCTTCTCTACATGTTTAGACCATCTTTGAATAACAATAATGTACGATGAACACGCCAAAAGTTTGGATTTATTTTATCTTTCAAATCAAAAGTAAACTAATCTAGTTCTCAAATTCAAAGAAAATTAAAAGGATATTTTTTATAAGTATAGATGGTGTAACATTTTCCAAATGCAGGAAGAGGGCAATATTTAATATATAAATTTAGAAATTTGATTGAGAAATTTTTAAAAGATAAGTTTGTAGCGTCCTGGAATATTTGCGGCGGTAGAGAAATATAAAATTTAATGTCTTAACTTTGTATGAAGATCCAGCACACAAGCAGATAAAAGAGAGGGTGTAGTGTTCATAAGAGACACTAGAGTTTTTACGTGGAAACCCCTGAAAAGGAGGAGAAATCACGGGGCCTATCCCAGTTTGAATGAATCTGCTATTATTTGCAGTTGATTACAAATGAGGCCCTTCCTTGGGGGGAAGGCCTTGGGTTGATGTAGCAAATGTAGATCATATTACATGGTGGGAATTGAAAGAATTAATATTGAAATGTTTGTTTAGTTGACATAACCATAGTCAGTGTGCGACGGAGGTCGGAAATACTGTAGTCTGGTGACGGTGGTCGAGAGGACCGTTGTCTGGCGAGGGAGGTTGGAAGGACCGTAGTCGGTGGGAGAAAGTGGTCAGAAAGACCTTTGTCTGGCGATGGAGGTCAGAAGGACCGCAGTCGGCGGAAGGACCGTGGTCAGAAAGACCGATGTCTGGCGAGGGAGGTCGGAAGGATCGTTGTTGGCGGGAGACAGTGGTCAGAAAGACTGTTGTCTAGCGATGGATGTTAGAAGGACCGTAGTAAGTGATGGAGGTCGAAAGGACCGTAGTCAGCAGGAGACAGGGGTCAGAAAGACCGTTGTTTAGCGATGGAGGTTGGAAGGATCGTATTAGATGATGGAGGTCGGAAGGACGGTAATAGGCGATGGAGGTCGGAAGAAACATAGTCGGTAGGAGATAAGGGCTAGAAAGACCGTTATCTGATAATGGATGTTGGAAGGACCGTAGTCGATATAAGATAGGGGTCAGAAAGACCGTTATTTAGCGATGGAGGTCGGAAGAACCATAGGAGGCGACAGAGGTCAGAAGGACCGTAATCGGTAGGAGATATGGGTTAGAAAGACCGTTATCTAACAATGGAGGTCGGAATGACCGTAGTAGGCGACAGAGGTCGGAAGGACCATAGTTGACAGGTGATAGGGGTCAGAAAAACTGTTATCTGACGATGGAGGTTGGAAGTACCGTAGTAGGCGACGGAGGTCAGAAAGACCGTAGTCGGCATGAGACAGGGGTCAGAAAGACTATTGTCTGACGATGGAGATCGGAAGTACCACAGTAGGTGACGGAGGTCAGAAGGACCAAAGTCGGTAGGAGACAGGGGTCAGAAAGACCTTAGTCGTAAGGCGGTGATCCGGTGGAAGTCCAAGAATTATTCGATGATCTGGCGGAACTCCGACTTTTGTCGGTGGTCAGGCGAAAGTTCGAATCTTAGTAGGTGGTTTGGCAGAACTCCGACATCATGCGATGGTCCGACGGAAGTCCGGCGTCACACGGTGGTCCTCACGGAAGTCCTGCGTTAGGCGGTGGTCTGGCAGAACTCCTGTGTCAGGCGGTGGTCCAACAAAAATCCTGCGTTAGGTGGTGGTCTGGCAGAACTCCGGCGTCGGGCAGTGGTCTGGCAAAACTCTGGCATCGAGTGGTGGTCCAGTAGAACTCTGGCGTTAGTTGGTGGTCTGGCGGAAGTCCGACTTCAGGCGGTTGTCCTGACAGAAGTCTGGCATCAGGCGGTGGTCCAGCAGAAGTCCGGCGTCATGCGGTGGTCCGGCGGAAGTATGACGTCATGCGGTGGTCCTGACGGAACTCTAGCGTCGAACGGTGGTCGAGGAGCGAGGAGGCAAGAGTGATTTCCGATCTCTCTCTTGATTCCTTGCTTAGGGATCCCCTTTCAAGAGGAAGGAATGGTCTATTTATAGATTTCCTAGAGTGGCATGGCCTGTAAAAGGAGGAAGATCAAGGGTAAATAGGAGTGGTTTGGGTGGACGGCCGATGTTGAATCCATTGATTGTGGACCGTTCGCTAGACATTTGAAGGTCTTAATGATGTCGGAATTCCGTGATATTGGGCTCGGTTGGATTCGTCTCGTCAAGCCGCTCGTTGTTGTTGTTGTTGTATTAGTCTCATGATTAATTTGTTATAATATATTAATTATTAAATATATATTTATGTTAAACAAGCATTTAAAATATGACTTCTTATAATTATTGAAATTAAAAAAAAAATCATATACAATGAATTAATAAGATCAAATAGTAATAGAAGAATAATTCTTGTTTTGATTAATAAGAATAAGATAAAGAAAATTTTAAAAATTATACGATTGAAAGATAAATTATTTAGTCATAAGCATTTAAATTAAGGTACAAATATTAGTTATGGTTTACATACTTGAGTAACAGTAAAATTTAATTAAAATGTATAAATTTGATTGAAATAAAAAATATTATTCATTACTGGTATTAACTTTAGAAAAATAAATGAATTAAGTATTATTTAAATAAGATTAATTAATAGTTCATGTGTATTTACATAGGTGTCAAATTGATGATGATGAAATAAGGATTAAAGTGAATCATCAAGTCTTATGAAATTAAAGTGGGTACTCATATTTCTAACTTATGGTAATAATATTGCTTCTTCTAAATCAAATGTGTTAATCATTATTAATATTCGTTCATCAAATGTTATTGTAAACTCAGATTTGATTTAGCTGTGTTATGGAAAAGATTGATCATATTAAAACAAATAATAATTTTTAAAGGCATTTAATTGTTATCACATGTAATTTAATATTACTATAAATGATATGGAATGATATAGAGTATGTAAAAGAAATGACTCATATGAGAATACTTGAAAGTACATGCTTGATTGATGGAATTTACTCCTTTATGGTATTAATTGGGGACGCAATATGTATGCTTGTATAAATTGAAAAATATTTTGAAAAAAGTTAGAAAATGAATTACCTTAATTGGTACTACACGGTGACGTATGTGACCGTTGTGTTATTTATGAAAAAAAGGATAACACATGATATGAATTTTACTCATTCATAATATTATGATTCAATGTCATTTATAAAATCAATTTTAAATAGAATTACTAATAAATAATGCTATGCTATTTCATGTTTTAAGGCAAAAATGCATATTATTTCACAGTAATATAGAAATATGAGGCATCCACCGAGGTATGTTATAACTCACTCTCATTATTAAATAAATACATATATTATTTAGAGAAATTAAATAAGTGCAAGCAGAAAAAATATATATCGTAGATTTTACACTATAAGAGAAATCAGAAATGTATTTATCTTAGAATTCCTATAGTTTTTATCATTAAAATAAATTTTATAAATTAGCAGTTCTTTAAATATATTAACGTTGTGCAAGCAAACATTTGATATTGGCTGATACCCATAGATGAAATCTTAAATATCAGCTCGACGATAGCCTTGCCTCGTTAATTTAAACCTCTGGGCTGGGTCATGATATAGTTAAATTATATAAGGTACCTAAAATAATTATTTTTTATCAAAATATAAAATTCATAAGTTATTTCTTAAGAACATTTTGAAAAAAAGGTACAAATTAAATCTTCAATTTTATGCCGCCAAAAAATTGATGGTCAAATTAAATGGTTAATATAAACATAAGAGATGTGTAGTGTTAATATGCAAAAGACCACGTGTCTAGGTAAGATTTGATATCAGCTATGGTTGAGTTTGCATCTAGTTCGCTTGCCAATATAGCTGCTAGTATGAGTTCTTTTGAGATTATCATGTGGTAACAACTTAGAAAATTCAGAGATCTTATTTTCCTTCCTATAGAATCTAAGCTTAATGTATTTATGCAATCATTCATCCATATGCATAAAATGCAAGGATATGCAACAACTAAAACTCTTAACCATCGAGATATTATCCCCTTAAGTATAACAACCTCACAATGTTTCCCTCTTGGTGTAACTTCTTAGGAGGTCACTCATCCTATGAGTGCTCTTGTATGAGCATGCATAATTTGCAACTTCTAATGAAATTCTAATTGTTACATCAAAAGGATGCAAGGATATACAAGGAGATCTTATTTTCAGAGATCTAATTTTCCTTCCTATAGAATCTAAGCTTAACGTATTTATGCAATCATTCATCCATATGCATAAAATCCAAGGATATGCAACAACTAAAACTCTTAACCATCGAGATATTATCCCCTTAAGTATAACAACCTCACAATGTTTCCCTCTTGGTGTAACTTCTTAGGAGGTCACTCATCCTATGAGTGCTCTTGTATGAGCATGCATAATTTGCAACTTCTATTAAAATTCTAACTGTTACATCAAAAGGATGCAAGGATATACAAGGAGATCTTATTTTCAGATATCTAATTTTCCTTCCTATAGAATCTAAGCTTAACGTATTTATGCAATCATTCATCCATATGCATAATATGAAAGGATATGCAACAACTAAAACTCTTAACCATCGAGATATTATCCCCTTAAGTATAACAACCTCACAATGTTGCCCTCTTGGTGTAACTTCTTAGGAAGTCACTCATCCTATGAGTGCTATTGTATGAGCATGCATAATTTGCAACTTCTAATGAAATTCTAACTCTTACATCAAAAGGTGTCTCAATGATTAAGAATTTATTTTCTTTAGAAGTTTTATAGTATCCCCACTTAGATAACTGATGACCACGTTAGTATTCATAACCCATAATCATTCACTAGGCAGATTGATGAGGACATCGATAGACGCTACCGACATGTTTATCGCCGGCGAAAACGCAGATCGACGGCCACGATTCAGCGCCTCTACTTCTGATTTAGATGTCATGATGTATTTTATTATTGTCTTGTTTGATTTACTGTTTTTCCCATTTTACCCCTGTGGGGAGTTATGTTTCATTGTAGCCCAGAGGGCAATTTAGTATTTTCACTTTGTATGAGTTGAAACCTATATATAGTGGTCTCTTGTATCTTTTAGTGTCCTAAATTT